ATGCCCCTCTGCAGCCAATGGGAGTTGCAGTTACCATACCTGCAGGAGGCACAGATAAACAAAGCATCTCGATGTCAGCTAGTGGTTTGTCCTTACAAGCTGTGACCCAGAGTTTAAAAACCCTTGGTCTATTTGACTAGACCTGACATCTCTTTGCTTGAAGAGATCACTGATGTCAATGAAAATTCTTCACACAAATAAATGGTTGACTCTATTCCCTAACTGTTAAAGGAAACTGTAGATTTAAATTGTCTCCGAATTAAAATTGTGGGTATTGTAGACAAAAAAAAAAATGCTACCTAGGGCCAACCAAAGTGTTCCCACTCCCTTGGGCTTTTTGTGCTCAGCATTTTTGAACATTCTCAGCTAGTGTCTGAAACATAAGCAAGGGTATGCCAAGAACCTGCAATGAAACTGGCTTTCATTGTACAATATGAGCAGTACAGTAACTGGAGTGCATAGTAACAAACTGAGCTAAAATTTTCATTCAGGTATTAACAAAGGTAAAGAAAATGACAGTAGCATGCCATTTTAACTAATACAGTAGGGAAATTTTATAAGCCTGTATATGATTTTAAAATCTTCATCCAAGGTATGATCTACTTGAGAAAGAAGTAATTACAAAGAAGAGATAAAATAAGTTCTAGTTATGGGCTTGTTCCTTCTATTTAGTCAGTTCTCTAGATTCAGGCATGGCTTAACAGTTCTTTTTCAGATGTTCTGTGACATAAATGAGAATACCAGGTTTTCCTACTTATGTAAACATCTTCATACCAGAATCATGTTTTATGCAATAAACTTAGTTAAAATGACATGTTTTGGAGTCCCAGAAAGTATTTTATGCAAAAGAAACATTATCAATATAACTGATATAAGAATTACTTTATCAGTATAATTGCATCTACACAGCAGGAGTTACAGTGATTAACTTTTTCTAAACTGGAATGATTCAATCAAAATAAAAACTAAGTCCTACTTTCAGACATCTTAAAAGTATCTAAGACTTTAGGTGCTTAAGTGCTAAGTCGCTTTTGAAAATGAGATGTAGGCTCCTAAGCCACTTAAGCACTCTTGAAAATTTGACCCTAGATACACTTCTTTAGCATGGATTATGAAATGCTAACAATGCTGCATGGTTTCTAGGTGCCTAACTTTTTAAAGCATTTATTAAAATACAGCTGCTACTTATGAAACTGTCCACTTCCTATTACATTGATGCTAATACAAACAAGAAAAATTAACATCAAAACTTGTTTTAAAATGGATAGGATTTAAAAAACTAAGTACGGCATAAGCACATTTACAGGCAGTCCCCGGGTTACATGGATCCGACTTACATCGGATCCCTACTTACAAACGGGGTGAGGCAACCCCGCACTAGCTGCTTTTCCCCCTAGCAGACCAGGGAGACGCGAAGCTAGCGCCCAACCCAGCAGACAAGGGAGATGCGGAGCGGCTTTTCTCAGCAGACACCTCAGCTTGAGAATAAAGGACTGAGGGAAGTGAGGTGTCCCCTCCCCAGCAGACCAGGGAGACGCGGAGCGGCTTTTCTCAGCAGACACTTCAGCTTGAGAATAAAGGACTGAGGGAAGTGAGGTGTGGGAGAATAAAACTGAGCTCTGGAGAAATGTTTGGCTAGAGTTTCCCCTACAATATGTACCAGTTCTGACTTACATACAAATTCAACTTAAGAACAAACCTTCAGTCCCTATCTTGTACGTAACCCGGGGACTGCCTGTATACAAATATTCACATTACCACATCTCTAGGAAAATGGGTCTCATTCAGCCCAACTGTATGCAGGTACACATCTCCAGGAAAGGGCCACCTCTTTGTATTAGTTCAGATACCTAATAAGTGTCCCTTAGATATCTTATAGTATCTGCATACAGGGGTGATACTCACTCTAGAAACAAAGCTGTATCTTGCAAATACTCACATAGTGCTCTTCTACATTGAGAAGAAGCAAGTTTAGTTAAAGTACACCCCACACCCCTACTGCCAAAACAAATCTGTGGAACCATGGTATGTATTATGTAAATACAGTGGTGTATGTGAAATACTTGTGCATATTTTGTGCTGAATTTCTCTTAGCAACTGGTATGGGGCCAAAGCCTATTCTCTCTACAAACACATTTCCTACCCTCCAGTCTCTTCCTTTTTTTATGAAAGAAGCTGGATTCTGAGCCCTTTTTAAAATCTGGCCACTCGTGCCATTAGAATTACCATGTTTTAGCGTATATAACTGTTGGGATTTTGTGGTTCCCAGAGATTCAGGTGCTGGGCAGAATCAAGGGTCTTCGATACTTCAATTCAATTCAATTTAACAACGACTTTATTCAATGTGCACAAAGGGGGAGCCCCTCAGCAAGGAGCCCGTCCCCTTGCTGTTTTATAGCACATGGCAGTTACATAACAGGTTACATAACACAAACTAATAAACCAATCAGATTCAACCTTTCCATATATGGCTTTGTTTGTCACATGCTTGTACTTCTCCACTCCACATGTTGAGTTCACTCCCCTCCCCTTGGCCTTTTCTAGACTGTTCCTAGGGTGGTGAGCCACAGCATGCTTCTTTATGAATACCTACTTTCCAAACCACATTTTGTTTAAAATGAACACATGCATATCCTTCAATAACCCACACTCATGTATAACCCACGGTTTTTCTTTGCCGTGTAAAAAAAACCAAACACCTTAGATTACCTGTGGATGTCAATAACCCACGGGTTCTATAGGCTAATTCACTGTAATTGCACATACCAGGGGGGAACGGAGAGTGCAGTGCAGGCAAGCTGGCCGGCCTGCGAGAGGGGAGCTGCACTTGCACCCAGGCCCCACGCAGCTGCAGCCAAGTGCAACCCACCCTCCTCTGGGCGTGGGAACAGAGAGCACAGCACAGGCATGCTGGAAGCTCGTCAGGCCCTCCATGCAGCGGAGCGGAGCTGACCCAATTCTAATGGGTAAAAATAACCTTGTATACCCCGCGGGGGAAAAGGAGGGTTGTAAAAGTGTGTATAACCCGTGGGTTATATATACTAATTTATGGTAAATTAATGGGAATATGTGTGCCAGAAAGAAAAGCAGGATTTGAGCAATAGATTGTTCTTTATCCTCACTATTAATGGATGGATGTTTTTCTCATTGATCTATTAACCATAATTAATTAGGAGAGGAATAATTTCTTAGGATTCAAATATATCTGCTTAATAATGTGCAACTTGAGAGCTCCTGAGTAATGTGGCTACATACTAAAATCTCTAGATAGATTAGAGAAGTGTGCCTTAGCAACTTGTTTGTTTGCAGAGTTTCTAAGATGGAGAGAAACTTGAGATCCTTAACTTCCCATTTTATTTTTATTTTCAAGTGCATCCAAAGTTAAATATACTTCTCCCTGAAAAACTGAGACCCAGTACAGCTCAAATGTCAGTATTCTAATTTTAACTTAGCAGGCAAGGCAGGTACAAAGGCTGAATTCTCCCATATGCAAGTGAACAGGATATAGCATGGATTAAAATTTCCAGCTGTACAAATTCCCTTTGAATGCCACAAGCTTCCCTCAAAGACTCAGATAACATTTCCTCTTTTTTAAGAATTTTGGGCCAAGTAAAGTTTCCTCTAGCATTCATGTCTGAATTTAGTACTCTTCTTCCCCACTAGTTGCCTGCTGTTGCTATGTAATGGTAGTGAATGGATTTGTTCTTTTAGTAAATTATACCTTATTAGACCCAATCATGAAAATGCTGAGTGCCCTCAATTGCCATATAGCTCATTGGGAATTGAGAAAAGCTCTTGTCAAGTGCTGAGTGTTTAGTGACTTACAGTATTGGGCCCAATATATGTGAAGATGGTTTGGATTGTATCACATATAAACATGGGTCCAAAGGAACGGTGGCATATGAAAGGGTAACATGGAAGAAACTACTATTCTGGCTATTTTTTCTCCCCAATCTTGAGGATTTGGATATTAGATTATAAAAATAATAACAGGGATAACCGGATCCAAAACTCCTCTTAGCTATTCAAGTTCTAGTAGAATGGGGACACTGTATGTCAAG